GTTCTCCATAGTGGCTGTATCAATTTACATTCCCACCAACAGTGCAACAGGGTTCCCTTTTCTCCACACCTTCTCCAGCGTTTATTGTTTGTAGATTTTTTAACATCTTTATTGGAGTATAATTGCTTAACAATGGTGTTAGTTTCTGCTTTATAACAAAGTGAATCAGTTATACATATACATATATCTCCATATCTCCTCCCTCTCGCGTCTCCCTCCCTCCCACCCTCCCTATCCCACCCCTCTAGGTGGTCACAAAGCACCGAGCTGATCTCCCCATGCTATGTGGCTGCTTCCCACTAGCTATCTATTTTACATTCGGTAGTGAATATATGTCCATGCCACTCTCTCACTTCGTCCCAGCTTATCTTAGAAAAAAGAAAGAAAAACTCAACAAAGGAAATGGGTAAATGCAAAACAAAACAAAACAAAACTATCTTTCCAGTGTCATGCAAAACCCCTACTTTTAAGGTTCCAGCCACTATGCTATATCATCCACTCCAGCTCCTCTTCACTGTCACTTACACAGGAATGATATGCACCAGCGTTGATAACTCACTTCAAGAACTCTCTCGCCATTACCATCAACACCATTCTCACCTCATCCTCCTGCCTTACCTGCCACACAACTTCCAAATTTGGATCAATGCAGTCATCGACCACTGCTGTTTCTATGTCCATTGTGCTGAGCCCTGGGGGAGGAAATAACACAACAGTACAGACAGGATCATCTTGAAAAACACAGTCTCTGTGGAATATTACATAGCGCTTATATACACAAGAAATCTATATGTGCTGATATGGAACAATATTCAAGGCACCCTAAATTCAAAAGCAAGCGATATCACAACCCTGAGTATGGCAATCACCGAAAAGATAGATTGTAACAAGTGTTGGTGAAGATGTGGAGAAACTGGAACCCTTATAGGCTGCTTGTGGGAATGTAAAATGGTGCAGCCACCTTGGAAAACAGTGTGGCAGTTCCTCAAAATGTCAAACATAGAGCTACCATATGACCCAGCAATTCCACTCCTTGGTACATACTCAAGAGACATGAAAATATACGTCTACACCAAAACTTGTATTTGAATGTTCAGAACAGTATTATTCATAATAGCCAATAAGTGGAAACCACCCGGTGTCCACTAACTGACGAATAGATCAACCAAATGTGGTCTATATGCACAACGGAATATTATTCAGCAATAAAAAGAATGAAGTTCTGATTCATGCTATAACATAGAGGAACCTCAAAAACATGTGCTAAGTGAAACACGCCAGTCACAAAAGACCACCTATTATATACTTCCATTTATATGAAAGTCCAGAATAGGCAAATCTGTAGAGCCTGAAAGGAGATTAGTGGTTGCTTAGGGTTATGGGTGGGGATTGTGGATAAGGGAGTGATAGCTAAAGGGTACAGAGTTTCTTTTTGAGGTGATGAAAATGTTCCAAAAACTGACGATGGTGGTGGTTGCACATATCTGTGAATGTAACTAAAAACCACTGAATTGTACACTTTTAATGTGTGAAGTGTATGGTATGTGAATTATAGCCCAACAAAGCTGTTTCTTTTTTTAAAAAAAAAAGCAAGTGCTAGAATAATGCATGTACTATGAGTTCATTTACATAAAACCCCAAACTACATATGCATGTAATATAAACATTTGTGAATGTATGTAAATATACAGAAGATGATTTGGAAGGCTACCCACCCATCTGTTAGCATTGGTTACTTCTGGAGAGGGAAACAGGATTGCCTTCTGTACTATCACACTTTCCTGTTTCTCCTCCTACCACCCTAGTTGTTCCTTCAAGTTGCTTTTGTAAGCGTTCCTTCCCCTGCCCATCTCTTTTGAATCTCATTCTACTCTTTAGGCTCTTCTTGAAGTAATCCTAAGATCATACATTTCCTATGGCTTCAACAACCTCCATCCATATCCTGACTCATTCATTCAGCAAATATTCATTGAGCACCTACTAGGTACTGTGCTGGTACCTTTGATTCCTTCCTCTCCCTCATCTCCCGTCCCTCATCCAGCAAACTCCACCAGTCCTCTCTCCAATAAACATACTCTGTCTCTCTACTTCTCTCCATGTCCGTGGCCTCCACTGTAATGCAAGCTACTGTCATCTCTCCCAGATCACTGCAACAGTCTCCTCCCCGGTCTCCCTGCTTGCATAGGCCATTCTCCACACAACAGCCAGAGCCCACTTTTAAATATATAAATCAGCTCATATCAGTCTCCCTGCTTTGAAGCCCTCCAAGGACTTCCGAATACACTTTGCATAACATCTAAGCTCTCTACTTTGACCTAGTAAGATAGAGCCCTTGCCTAAATCTCTGATCTCATCCCATCCTTGTTTGCTATGCTCCCAGCTATAATTTGCTCCCTCTTGAGGGTCTTTGAACTTGCCTAAAATGTTCTCTCATCATCCACGTCTCAGCTCCAGTGTCAGCTCCTCAGGGAGGCCTTCCCTGATCATCCCAACTAAGTAGGCCCCGAGCCTGGTCGGTGTCGCATCGCATCTCCTGTTTTACTTTCTCCCAGCACTTACTGTCATCTGCGGTTGTTTCATTTGTTGGTTTGCTTGTTCATTGTATTTCTTCCCTGCCACTTGCATGTAAGCTCCATGAGAGTGGCAACTCTATTTGCCTTGTTCCTGATGAACCTCTAGCACCTAGAAGGTACTCAATGAATATCTGCTGAATGAGTGAGTCGGGAGATGGATGGAGGTTCTTGAAGCCATGGGAAATGTACGATCTTAGGATTACTTCAAGAAGAGCCTGAAGAGTAGAATGAGATTCAGAAGAGACGGGCAGGGGAAAGAATTCTTACAAAGGCAACTTGAAGGAACAACCAGAGTGTCTGACCCTCAGGTTTTTGGCTGAAGCAACTAGACACATGGTGGGTGCCATTCACTGAGGCTGGAAGACAAGGGGAGGAGCAAGCGGGGTTGGGGATTGCTTCAAGAACTGAGTTCTGGACATGTTAAATTTGAGATGTGTATGAGTCACCCAGCTGGAGATCCTAAGTAGATGGCTAGTTAAAGAAGTCTAGATAGACTTCAGTGAGGTGGTCAGGGCTAGAGATGGAAGTTTAGAAATTGAATTCATCAATATAGATACAGTATTTAAAGCCCTGGGAATAAATAACCTAGGAAGAAAGCAGAGAATGAGAAAAAGGGGGCCTGATGCAGAGTTCTAATGTCTCCCATATTTGTATCTCCAGTCCTCACCTCCTTCTTCCAGGAGTTCCAGAACTACTATCAAATGCCTTACATAAACCCAGTGTGTCCCAAAATGACTCCATCGACTTCCTCTTCAAAACTGGTCCTCCTTCTGTATTCACCAGTCAGTTGGACCTCTTCGTAACATCTCCAGTACTGTTCCCCACCTTTCCATCCCCGTGACAGTTACCTTAGGTCATCAATCTCATCATCTCATGCCTGGATGACTACAATAGTTTCTTAGCTGATATCTCTGCCTCCAGTATTGACCCCCGACTGCTGCCAGTAGGGTCCTTCTAAAATCCCTTGATCGTGGTACTTCCTTTCTTAAAACCTTTCAACGGTTTCCCATTGTTCAAGGTAAAGTACAGGACTTCCCTGGTGGCGCAGTGGTTAAGAATCCGCCTGCCAATGCAGGGGACACGGGTTCGAGCCCTGGTCCGGGAAGATCCCACATGCCGCGGAGCAACTAAGCCCGTGCACCACAACTATTGAGCCCGTGTGCCACAACTACTGAAGCCCACGTGCCTAGAGCCCATGTTCCGCAACAACAGAAGCCACCGCAATGAGAAGCCCGCACACCGCAATGAAGAGCAGCCCCCGTTCACCGCAACTAGAGAAAGCCCACGTGCAGCAACGAAGACCCAATGCAGCCAAAATTAAATAAATAAATTTATTTTTTAAAAAAAGATAAAGTACAAATTCTTATACCTAATGTATAAAGTCTTTCAGGACCTGCTTCCTGCTGACCTTTTCAATCCTGTCTTCCGCTTACTCCCTCTCCCTTACATCCTAGGCATACCAATTTATCAATTGCCTTTAGTTCTCTGGATGCATCATCCTTGTTTATTTCTACAAACATGTACCTGCGATGCACCCCACCACTACCTGTTCTCCAGCTCTATGAAAAGTTTTGCCCTCCAACCAAGCCAACTTGCTCTCTTCTCTCTTGATGTCCCCTCAGCATCCTGAGCATCTTCCATCTTTATTTTCTGTAGTATCTTATTGTATTTCTATGTTCAGGTAGCTCTCTCCCTCTACTAGCCTATAAGCTTAATGAGGGCAGGGATGGTACTTCCTTAGCTTTGTTTTACCAGCACCTAATATAGTGCCTAGCATATAGTAATCACATCAGCCAATATTTATCAAGTGCTTATCAGTGCCAAGTAATTCTATAAGTGCTTTACATGTATTGATTCATTTACAACAACCCTATGAGGCAGGTAGTATTATGCCCAATTGACAAATAGGAAATAAAGACGAATAGGAAATTAAGTAACTTTGCTCAAGTTACACAGCTAGTAATGGATACAAGCCCAGTCAGTCTAGCTCCAGAGTCTGTGCTTGTAATCACTAGTCTCTCAGCAAATGCCTGTTCAATGAATGTGGAATTGGAAATGTGGGACATGTGACTTTTTTTCATGTTATTATTCTGACCTTGACTATTTCATCTTTTCTTTCATTAAAAACTCTCATTTCATTCAGAGCTCAGACACAATAAAGTTACAAAATCAAATAACAGATCCTGTGCTATGGAGCTCAAGGGAGTCAATAAGGGCAAATGTCATTATCCTCACACCTCCAGGCACTTAGCAAGTCAGGTTGATTTACTGATGTTCGGCGACGAGGGCCAAGGCACAGAAAAGTAAGATAGGACGAAACATCATAACATCTTAACATCAAAACATCCTGACAGCAACCATTTACTGAGAGCCTCATAGATGCCAGGCACTTTGTTGAGAGTTTTACATGGATTACCTCATTCAATCTTTCCAACAGCCCTCTGTGATGTCCGTACTGTTAGGCTCCCCATCTTACAGATGAGAAAATAGGCTCAAAGACGTTGGATAACTTGTGCAAGGTTGCAGAGTTAGTAAATGGCAAACCAGGATTCACGCCAGGGCTGCCGGCTGCAGTCCGTGCTTTATTTTTTTTTAACATCTTTATTGGAGTATAATTGCTTTACAAAGGTGTGTTAGTTTCTGCTTTATAACAAAGTGAATCAGCTATACATATACATATATCCCCATATCACCTCCCTCTTGCGTCTCCCTCCCACCCTCCCTATCCCACCCCTCTAGGTGGTCACAAAGCACCGAGCTGAGCTGATCTCCCTGTGCTATGTGGACCGCCCCACTCACCCTTGTCAACCATGACTCTAGGGCTGCACTGCCCCCATTGGACAAACTAGCCATACACGGCTAGGTCAATTTATTTATTTACTTTTTAAATTTTATTGAAGTATAGCTGATTTACAATGTTGTGCTAATTTCTGCTGTATAGCGAAAGTGACCCAGTTATAGATATATATATACACACTCTTTTTCATACTCTCTTCCATTATGGTTTATCACAGGATACTGAATATAGTTCCCTGTGCTCTACAGGACCTTGTTTATCCATCCGATATATACTAGTTTGCATCTGCTAATCCCAAACTCCCCATCCATCCCTCCCCCACCCCCTCTCCCCTTTGGTAACCATAAGTTTGCTTTCTATGTCTGTGAGTCCGTTTCTGTTTTGTAAATAAGCTCATTCATGTCATATTTTAGGTTCCACATATAAGTGATATCATACATATGGTATTTGTCTTTCTCGTTCTGACTTAGTTCACTTAGGATGATAATCTCTAGGTCCATCCATGTTGCTGTAAATGCCATTATTTCATTCTTTTTTATGGCTGAGTAATATTCCATTGTATACATGTACCATACCTTCTTTATTGACTCCTCTGTTGATGGACACCTAGGTTGTTTCCATGTCTTGGCTATTGTAAATAGTGCTGCTATGAACATTGGGGTGCGTGTATCTTTTCGAATTATGGCTTTCTACAGATAGATGCCCAGGAGTGGGACTGCTGGATCATATGGTAGCTCTATTTTTAGTTTTTTGAGGAACCGCCATACTGTTTTCCATAATGGCTACACCAATTTACATTCCCACCAACAGTGTAGGAGGGTTCCCTTTTCTCCAGACCCTCTCCAGCATTTATTGTTTGTAGATTTTTTGGTGATGGCCATTCTGACCGGTGTGAGGTGATATCTCATTGTAGTATTGATTTGCATTTCTCTAATAATTAGCAATGATGAGCATCTTTTCATGTAGGTCAATTTAAATTAATTAAAATTAACTACAACTAAAAATTCAGTTCCTCAGTCACACCAGCCACATTTTAAGTGCTCAAAAGCCACACGTGGCTAATGACTGCCATATTGGGGAGCGCACACAAAGCACATTGCCCTCGCCACACAAGGCTGCATAGGTCAGCGTGGTACCAGAGTGTGCTGGCTATGACCGGGTAGGTTCGGTGAGCTGCTTCCAACTGCTGCCCCCCTTCTCTCCACCCTGCCAGTCTGGCTCTTCTCACTTCAGCGTCTTGGGGAAACTTTGAGGCGTGTGTTAAGGTAATAACTTTCATTATCGCCCCCTCCATCATTCACCTCCTCAGTAATATCACCCTTTCTATCCACTGCCTGCAGTTCACCCTCGTGCCCCATCCCAGTCGCACCCTCCCCTCTCCAGTTCTGGGGAGAAAGAGGTCCCGTTGTTATTCATTCTCATTGTGCCTCCAACCAACCCAGATGACCCAGTGCAGGACAGGCACTTTACAGCCACAAGAAGCAGAGATCCCTGACTGTCGTCCGCAGCCACACCCTGTCTCCCCACCTGCTGCTGGCTCAGCTCTCCAGAGGGAGGGCTCACCCTAACCCTGGCCCAGCCGGCTGCTGAGGTGCAGCCTCCTGGGGCCACCACGACTCCAATACGATTTTGGAGCTGGTGAAAAGGACCTGGAACCTTTCTAAGATCACATGTTACCCAACGTCAATGAAATCTAATAGGATGCTAGAAGGCAGGCTGGTTATATATGATCTGCTCTGCACGCAGGGACGAGTTGGGAAGAAAGGAGACAAAGCAGCCAGGGATAGAGGAGCTAAATAAGATACACTCAATTACCCACGGTCATGGAGAACAGACATGGCAGCTCATTAAAGCCAGTCAATAATCCCAAAGGCACTCTGGAATCCATCATACGACGCAGCCGTAACCTACCTCTGAACCCCAGCGGATTTATCCATCTAATTAATTTTTCTCAGACTGATATTAAAATAAGTATATATTTTCCAAGCTGATTCTAACTGATGTCTAGAGAAGTGGGCAATGGCATGCATACGGGGAAGGGTAAAGACAGCCTAAAATGATTAATTTGCCACCAAAAATCTCAACGTATGTATTTGAGAGTCACCTGCACGCACTGTCCAAAGAAGAATTCTGCCTGTCAAAGCAACTAAAGAGTTGAGCCACCTAAGACTCTTCTCGGAGGCCCACATCGAAGATGTAGGAAATGGTCAAGTCAAGCTGGATGTCTCTCAGTCCATAATGCCCCCAGTCACAAAGTCAGAGACACCCTGCTGATTCCCAGAAGGTTCTCATGCAGAAGCAACTTCACTCCAGCGCATGCCACTTAACAGCAGGGGCTATAGTAGGGAAAGGAGGGGTGGGCAGGCTCTGTCCCCATCCCCTTGACGTGTGGGCCACACCACCTCTGAAAACACAGCTGTAAAACAGGGACAGTAAGCGCCACTCAGGGTTCTGCTCCAGTCATTCTTGAAGTGGGTAGAGCAGAGTGATAATGGAGCGTGGAAAGGACAAGGGGGCAGAAGAATCAACATTCCTGAAAGCAAGAGCACTCACGAGACATGTATTGGTTTCTGTTTTCCCTCCGAAGGGGAGAAAGTAGGTCAACACACTCAAAGAACTGTGACCAGGAACAGTGGGTCTGAGAGGGAGCCACTGGCTGAGCCCTGCCAAGGTGAAGCAGTGAGACACATGCCTTTCACTTTCAGGCATTTGTCTGAGGTCACTTGGCCTCGGGAAAAGCTCGGGCTGTGAATCCCTTGGTGTGTATTCTCTGCAGGCCCTCGGAGTTGGGTGCAAGGGGAGCCTCGCGTTTTCAGACAGACATCTAAATGATTGGCTGGCGTGAGCTGGCAGGCACAGAAATGTTCATGAGCAGACTGCCTGCTTTGGCTCTCAGACGAGGTGGACAAGGCTCGGGGCAGTGTGGCTAAATATAGACAGCACAGGGGGCCCAGAAAGCAGGAGGGCTCAGTTTCATCCCCAGGTCTCTCGGTTAACCTGAGGCAAACTCCCTGAGTGTCTTTCTTTCATGGACTGACTTGTTCTTGGTAAGGCAGGAGCACTGAGGAAGCTTTCCCAGGCCTAGAGCAGGGGGTCACACTGAGTCTGCTGCATTTTCTTGCCTCATCTTCCCTCAACGACCCAAGTCTGGGGAAAAGACCGTCTGTGATCAGGTGGGAGGTGGAGTCGCCGATTCACGTATGGAAACAGGACAAGCTGTGATGACCCGCTGGCGGCCACACGAGGCCCCCTCAACAAGGTTGCTGCCCAGTCAGAGCCAGAAGGAGGCTGACTGACCCCTGGTCTAAAGGTAGAGGTGGCAGAGAAGCGCACCAGAGGCGCCAAATCAGAACTCTTGCTGCATGGCACACAGCTATGAGGCAAGCAGTGTGAAACCCAGGAAGTTAGGTAGGCAATTTTAGGAGGCAGTCCAAAACCCAGGCAGTTCCCGCCCTCTGCCACTGCTCATATGCCATTCCTTTCCTCAGCAAGACTCTACTTGGACAGGAGCAAGAACCCAGACCAAGGCGGCTGCTTGTCCAGTCCAGTTAGGGGGCAGTGTTCTTAGGAAAAACCATGGAGCAGGGGAGGCCGAGCCCAAGGAAACTCTTCAGTATTTCCCGCCCCAAGGCCCTCGGCCCTACCCTCATTCCTGGACACTTCCGCCAGAAGTCACTATATCCCTGGGTGGCAGGAATACCTGGGAGGAGCTGCTATTTATTTTTCCCATTATAAAACTGATAAGTGATTATTGTATAAAATTGAGAGCATAAAGGAAAATAGAAACTAGAAAATTTTAAAAATCACTATAATCCCATCACCTAAAGATTACTACCGTTAACGGCCTTTATGTAAATTTGGAGTAGTCAGGCCTGGATTCAAGCCCTGGCTCTATTGCTTACTTACAGTGTGACTTTGGGCAAGTTCCATAAGCTCTCTGAACCTCAGTTTTCTTATCTGCAAAATGAGAATAATCATAGCACTCACCTTAAAGTGTTGTTTCAAGGATCCGAGAATTCCCGTGAAGAGGCGTAGTCGTCCCTGGCAAATAGTAAGTGATCAATAAGTGCTGGCCATCATCACCACCACCACCATCATCATTCTACGTGCCTGTATTCAAAACCCTCCATAACGACGGCTGCATAATATTTCACCTTGTGATGGTACTATTTCCTGAGTGTTAAACATCTATCTTGCTTCCAAGATTTCGGTATTACAAAACTGCTGCAAGGAACATTCTTGCACATAATCTCTGATCGTTTCCTTAACATGAATCTCCTAGAATTGAGTTTACTAGGAAAAAGAATATGAACATTTTTTAGGCCCTTGTTCCAGACTGTAAAATGGCTTTCTAGAAAGGTTGTACTCACTTACATGTCTACCAGCAGGGCATATAAGTACCTATCTTTTCATACTTTCACCAACACTGAGTAATAACATTTTTAAAAAGTCTTTGCCAATTTGATAAGGGAAATGGTGTTTTGTTTTCACCTGTAGGACTTTGACCATAAGGGAGGATACACATTTTAAGCTAACTCTCTGTTAAACTCTCTGGGAACATGAGTTCCTGTATGGGAGGAGTCCCTATACTTTAGTTTTGCTTTCTTAAAATATTTTAAGTCTCTTTCCCTTAGTAACTGACATACTTGTAATGAAAGCTATGCTGGTTTATAATAGCATATAACTGAAAGAAGAAAATGCTTGTCTTTTTTTAATGGATCTGTACATACACATAAAAACATACACAGGGCTTCCCTGGTGGCGCAGTGGTTGAGAGTCTGCCTGCCAATGCAGGGGACACGGGTTCGAGCCCTGGTCTGGGAGGATCCCACATGCCGCGGAGCAGCTAGGCCCGTGAGCCACAACTACTGAG